AGAACCACCATTATCTGCCTTTTACAGATGGGGAACTGAGGCACTGAGAGATTAGGTGACTTGCCAACATCTGTGGAAGAATGGAGGATTAAACCTTGATCTCCAGAGTCCAAGTCTGGTGTTCAGTCACCGGACCAGCCTTCCTGCTCCCGCGAATGTGTTACTGCTATCAGCTGCTCTGTATTTTCCTCCCCATTTCTACCTAATCCCTTTTCAAGGTGGCCCTCCAGGGAATGTTACTTATGTGGGTCAAGACTTGATGCAGCCATGCCAATGAGGGACATGCTGCGTCTTCCTGCGGGCACTAGTGGCTTGCCTGGCAGTGCTGCTGCTGGGTGGCATCGCAGGAGCAAGGGCTTACAAAGTCATTTCTAGCTTTGAGGCAGGAAATCTATCACAAAACAGCCAGACAGCTGGGAAAGAGGACGGTGTTCACAACGCCTTGCACTGCATCGGCAGTTCCTGTTCCAGTGAGGTCAAAAGGGTGTGCTCATGTGGGAAGAAGGCTTCTAAGATGGGGTTGCAAGATAAGAAGGAAAATCTTGAAAGTGGATCCCTTGGGCACTATTGGCACTTATTTCTTGCGCTGCAATACCACCTGCAGGCCCAGCACAGGGCTGGGCGTTGCAGAGGAAGGGCTGCCCTGCAGGCTGAGGGGCAGCTCCAGCCCTCAGGCCCCATGGAAGCCCTCTGCTACCGAGCTCTTGGGGTGCTACCCAGCCTAAGCTGTGCCACGGCTGCTCCCCACACCAACACCTCCAATGAACTGGCCAAACAAAGCCGCTCAACCCAACCCCACTGTGGACTGCGTGGCAGACGATCCCCAAGATGGCGTTCGGTGCGGAAAGCCGCCGGCCCTGCCCACGAACCACGCGACGAGGCTCCTTCCATTGCTGTGTGGGGAAGGCCAACCCTTTGTCCTCCAGCAGCTAGCCAGCCCCGCTCCCCCAGCCCCACGCCACGGCCCGGCCCTCGCCTCAACGCCTGTCACCCTGATTGCGGTGGGTGGGAGATCACAGGCGAGCGGCGGTATCTGCTCCGCAGACATCAGACAGCGTCGGAGCAAGGGTAATCCATTTATTTTTAGAGAAGTTTTCCACTTGGAGATCATACACACTGCAGATCACAGAAACACATGCAAGCATGAAATTTAATTTTTAAGAATTCTTTTCCCGGGGCTTCCATGTAAAGCGGCGGTGAATGGGAAAAACTATAATCATGACAAGACAATTACAGGGGAGTTTTTTGCTAAGCATGAAAGTTTGAAAAAAGTGTTAGGGGAAAGAGGGAGGAAGGAAAAGAAAAACAACAACCCTATAAAAGTCATTTTTGTCCAGTCTTGTTCCAGCGAAGCAGAATTAGACATCACGTCACGTAAGTAACTTTAAAAATAATAATCGGCTTTAAAGTACCCAAGGAGAAAAAAACAAACCCTATGTTTGAGTTTGAACTACTTTTCCTGGTTTGGCTCTTTTAGTGCCACAGTGCGTATGCAAATGAGGAAACTGTCTGCGACCTCCAAAATGCTGCAGAACACATGCACTCATGCTTTTAGTATGAAAGGACTGGGAGACATACATTAGGATTTGCGGGATTATGGTGAGAAAGCAGGAGTGATAACTTTGATGTTCTTTAAAAAAAAAATAAAAATGGTGAAAAGACAGAAAACTGCAAGTGGTTTTTCTCTTCTTGGCAAAGACCCCCAGGAAAGAGCTAGCATGGAAAATGAATCCCCTCTCATCTTGAAGAGAGGCAATTTCTCCCATTCGAGCCTAAGTTCAGTGCTGCGGCGATGCAGGGAGCTCAGATGCCGTGTGTCTGAGCTGTGTTCAGCCTGTGGATAAGCAGAGGGGCTGGTTCCTACAACCTGCAGCCACTAAAACTTGTTGGGTAGCAAATATTCCCTGCAAAAATAAATACTTACTGTATATCCCAAAATGTAAACAAGAGCTGACTGTAAATCTGCATGAACAATGCATGATCGCTGCTTCGATAGTCACATATGTGTGAATTTTAACTGTGGGGATGGATTATAACTTATTTCTTACTAAAGCCAGTCTGTTCTTAGCTTTCTTCTGATATAGCAACAACTGCTTAGCCTGATTCATAATTGCATCATCCCAGCAACTTTAAGTAAGAAGTAGGGGTTGGAACTAGCCGATCTTTGAGGTCCCTTCCAACCCAAGCCATTCTGTGATTCTATGAATTTACTAATATGAATCTATGAAATAGAGATCCTGGTGAAAAACAGTCCTCCAATACACAGCAGAGGGAATGAAGATAGTAAAAATTGCTCCGAAATGATTTATCTGTTCTTACGGAAGGGGTGATGGCTTTAGCACAGATCCCTTGGGAATAAAATGACATAAAGCAGAAAGGCTTTACCTTGTTTTTGCAGCACCGCAGCATCCTTTTGGGTCTCCCATCCCTGCATCAGGCTGTGCTCTGCCACGGTCACGGGTGGGAACGCCACGCTCGGCTCTCCTGGCTCTAGAGACAATGCAGCAAAATGATTTGTCAAATTGTCAAAACTTACAGACATGGTAGAGGAGCAGAGCGGGGAAATTTGGATAGACTGAGCCTTCACCCTGTCCTAATCTCACCACTGGAGGCTGTAAACATGATGGGTAAAGTGACAGTCTGGCTACAAATCTGTCTGGCAGCTTCATTAGACATCTTTCGCCTGACTGATTAAACTGCATTTAAGAACCACTTTCATTTTTTCAAGTCTTTTGTTTAAATTAAAAGGTCATGTTTTCAAGCGAGTGATCCGCTGCCCTCTCCAGTCTCCTGCCACAATACAGTTACATTAGTACCAGTGTTGCACAAAGCGGGGTAAATCAGAGCCACAGACACCAACAAATGTCGCAGCCAGCGGAGGTTGCAGAAAGGGGTTTTTGTCTGTTCGTTATATGCCACAGCAGGGATACAAGCTTGAAAAGTCCCCCAGCCTCAGGCTTGGACTGTTTGTGCTATGTGCTGGGGAACTCACAAAGAGGACTTGCTACTTTTGCAAATGTACCAAAGCAGTCGGGATGGCGCAGCGCGTCTCATTGCGCCTTGTTTTCACTCATGCCTCGCTCCCTGAGATTTTTGGTGGTTAGACAAAAAAATAAAATAATAACCAAAAAACCCTGGGACCTGGGGCTCAATGCTGCCAAGTGCTGAGTGCCATCTGTTCCCACTGGCACGGAGCTGGTAGGATGTGGTCCCGGTGCACACAAGTGCCATCGTTGCAGGGAGGATGTCCTGGCTGCATTTCAGGCTTGGGCATGCTCTGGCTCTAACTAAACCAAGCAGCACTCAGGTGAGATGCAGAAATCAAAGGAGCTGAGCAAAAGGACTGAGAAGCAAACGCTGCCTTGGAGGGGCCCCAGCTTCCTGCTGGCATGAAAGAGGCAGCTCAGTGCCTGGCATGGGAGCCCACTCCACACCAAGGCAGTGTAATGGTGGACTCAATTTTTACCAGGTAAGTATTATATGGGCACAACGTACTGCTGCTACAGGTGACCAAACTCAACCCACCGTACTTATGTGCCCTCTTCCATAGCCTAGATGTCAACTCTGCTAACCAAGAGCATTATAAACATGACTTACTAAAGTGAACTGCAGCCTGGATTTGAATATTCATCGTGTCCTACATCAGACACTTTTCCTTCTAAGTTATTTTTTATAAACCTCCTTGAATCTGAACTTTGATTATGAAGTTGCACACAGAAATCTACTTTTTCAGAAGGTTTGATGGATAAATACTTCCCTTCTTTTTCAGACACAATTATAGTTGGACTAGATGATCTTAGAGGTCTTTTCATAGGATCATTACTGTTGGAAATCTTTGATAGTCACTGAGGTTTCCAAAACCTCATCAGAACCTCTGAAAAATAGTGCTCCTTTTTAATTGCAATGGGGCTCAATGTCTTACAGCCATGGGTACATACCAACACCGTAAGCACAACTGAACTCCTGCTGCATTTTTCACTCACTGAAAAAGTAAAATGCTGACTACATGTAATGCCTGCATTATTGTTCTAAATTGAAGATGGCTTTTCTGACCCATCGGCATGGAAACTGCTGAAATCCTATGTTGTAACCTTTGCTTTAGGACAACTTTTCTCTAATTGATGCGCCCAAGATTCCCATGCAGGTATTGACAGCAGAAAAGACTCTTAAGCATTTAAAAGTAAATCCTTGACGTTTATATCCCTTACAGTAAGTCCAATTATCCCCACTGTGCTCCGTTCCTGTTAGAAATCTGATGCAAAGAAGAAAACCCAGTACACACAGTTACATTTTCCCAGTTGTGGATTGCTGTAGATAAGAGCAATGAATATGGCTCAGCAGCAAGCAAGAACATTTTGGAAATGAACGGGGCTAGAGCAGTGTATAAGGCTTTTTCGAAAGGGCCTGCTTCTGTAAAGCCAGAAAATTTACACAAATGAAATGAAACATTTTTTTCTTCCCAATACCTAAGAGAAAGGCTTTGGCTGACCCTTTCCTTTCTTCACACAGGCCACATGCTTTTCCACAACTATCCAACTATGAATAGGCACAACCATTCCAGTAAAGCCGACAGTTTGTGCTGCCAACTATTATATCAGCGACCCAGGACCTTACGTGTCATTTAATAGCTACATTCATAGAGGGGCAGATGAAAAGAACAACCACAATAAGAAGCAGTTAATTATGGATATGTTTAGAAACAGTTTAATGAATAATAAACATCATTTTATTTCCTGTGCCTCCGACACAGTGGCAAATAATTAAGAATCAAAGGAATTCAAAGTATTAGGTAACGATCAGAAAACTTGTGCGAGATTTTTTTTTTCCTCTGGAGTTTAATTGGTTCATTGTTCCCATGAACCATAAACCATGGGGTTGATAGCGGTGCTAAAGTTTACTTCTATAAAGGAAGATTAACATATTCGGGAACTTTACCCTAATCCTTGTTTTGCGTTAACTCAAGCAGATTGGATTAGTAATTCTTACCTACCACCCACTAGAAGAAAACGGGCTTCTTTTCTCAGACAACTGGCTGTATTGTACCTTCATGTGCATTATCTGCACTGAAAGCATTCTGCGGAAAGAAATAATGTGAAGTGAAAGGGAAAAGGGTTTTACACTGTGACAGCAAGAAACAACTGCTGACATGGCAGAGTCTGGACCCTAATGAAGGGCTAGACGTGTTCTTCCCCAGTTCATGTGCTGCTATTTCAGGCAAAATGAGAATTAAACTTCCAAACTTCTCATGCAGGAAAATCACTAAAAAAAGGAAAGTTGATTTACCGATTCTGATGTGGAGAGCTGTGGGGTGTACTGGCAGCAGCCCAAGCAAGGAGCAGGGTTTCCCCCTTCAGAGTCCATAGCCCAGACCATCATGCTCCCTCTTTACATGCAGAAGCTATACCTTCACAGAGCAAGATCCCTGCAAGAAAGAAATGCCAGCATTGACACGAGGGCCTGATACCATGCAGGTTTCTCTGAAGGTTATTTATTTGCAAGTATTGTCCAGATGGAGAAAATGCCCTTCACCCATACATGGACACGCTTGGCCAGATCTTTTCTAGTGTTTATCAACATTTAATGTCAGGAAAATTGATTTTTTCTTTTCTTTTTTCTTTTTTCTCTGAATAAGCAGAATCCACAGAATGTATGAGCAATGCCCCAGAGGAACATAGCAGCTCCGTGGATCATAGATAGAGGACCAAACCTTGCAGAGCCACGGAAGAGCCTGGTACACTTGATGGTTTCTGTCCAACCTCCATTCAAGCAGAAAACTGTGAAACATCCACCAAGTGTGGCAGAAGCTCGTAGAAGCAAATGCCAAGGTACCAAAAGGCAGCTCTCAAATGTCTTGTTCTGGTTATCTCTGCACCTCAACAGAGTCTTCTGCCAGTGATAAAACAAAATTAATTGCTTTTTGGTTTCTATTTTATAAAATTAAGGAATGATTGTAAATCAGGAAAGCTTTAAAAATATTCTGTTGCCAGGGCTGCAGGAACTAAAAAGCTAGCAAACACATGTGCCTCAACAGTTGTAAAATTAATATAAATACAGTGACAGCCAGAGAGGTGTTGGATGCCCTGCAGACACCTAAAGTCAGGCTGGATGGGCTCTGAGCACCTGCTGGAGCTGTGGATGTCCCTGCTCATCGCAGGGGGTTGGATCAGATGGCCTTGAAGGGTTCCTTCCAACAAACTATTCTATGGTTCTGTGATTTCATGGGTGAAGAGCAATGCTACCTGCTAGCTGGATGACAGAAACCAATGATACTGAGACCAAAGAACTCTTGATTCTGTCAGTCAAGAAACTCCTTTTAAGTTATTTTACTGCCCTAAAGGTGGGGCTATGTGCCCATCTCTGCCACATCTCCTGTGAGCCACAAATCCTGGTGTACCTGCATTCACTAGCCCAGCAGCCCACTGCACGTTCTCCTACCATCAACCTCCATCTGAGTATGAAAAATACAAATCTCAGAGCGTGCAGTACATGTAGTGCATCCCACAGAAGGGCCATGGCTTTGCATAGATCCCTCAGTACAACTTTAAAGCCTGTTAGCTTCCCGATGGAGGTACTTTTTGGCATCTAGGGAACAAGATAACCCTAAAGTGCCCCAAGGGCCCTCCAGAACCAAGCCTGCATGTTTTCTTAGGGGGAGTTTCAGGGTTTCCATTAACAAGTGACCGGCCATTGAGCTTTGCATTGCTGTCACTCAATACCTTTTTCCTCCTGGGAAAACTGTTGATTCTGCCATATCAATAAAAGGAAAATGAGAAGTGGATCAATAAATTACTCAGACACTTTTGTGTTACCCATTACAAGAGCTGCCACTACAAATTTTCCACGTTCTCCCTTTTTCATGATTTTACACCAAGCTGTGCAAAACACACTGTGTATCGTTTACTGTTTGAGATTTTATTAAGAAAAAAAAAAAAAATAGAAATTCCAAGTACTAATTTCAAACTGTTGTGGTGAACTCTCCCTTTTTTTTAATTACATAATAGAGTCTTTTGTCCTCAGTTTTCCATCTGTTTGCTAAGCATTTTTCACTTGAAGACTCAATTAGGACAAAAAAACCCCACACAATCATTCAATTCAAAAATTAATTTGGAGATCAAGGGACTGACTTAGGCCTATACCAGTGACTAAAAGCGATTCAGGCTTTGTCACATGATCCAAGGGAACTGAGCAACAACAGTTTAGCTGCTTTAATCCTCCTTAATTTGAGTGCAAAGAAATTCACATGTGCTACTAAGAACATTTTGCAAGTACACTGTGTCCATTTTTCTGGGTCTCCATGTCCAAAGACTTTGTTTCATTGAGGGCTCATGACATCCTTCATTAATAACCCTCGTGCAGACAAGTGAAATGCACACTATTTTGCAGACATAGGGAGAGACCTGAGCATATCCTGCTGAGGAAAAGGTACTTTCCACTAACATATCTCACAAGCAGGAGTGATAGCAGCAGCAGCACCGTTAGGGATGTGGCAGTGAATTAGGTCACACTGTTCCAGGCACATTGCAAAAGAGAGATGCCATCAATGACCCAAAGAGAATATTTAAAGAAATAATACAGCTATGCCACAGGAGACCTCAGCAAATACAGTTTTGTGCATGCTTTGCACAGGATATAGGCTTACTAGCAAAAAAGCTACCCCCACCAGCTCTCACTATCTAACATGAGTGTGTTGGGACTATATAACAGGGCATTGATCCATCTGAAGCTCAGTTACAGCTTGTATCAATGGGGACAGCCAAGCAAATTTTCATTAGATGAAGGGAAACTTGCAAAAATCCCATCCAGCACACACCTACATGCACACATTCTTTACCTCTCTAATTCCATGTGTGTTTGCTGGTTTTGGAAGAACTTAATTAAAGTTGGAAGTGAAAGTTCCAAGAAAAAAACACGTAAACCTTCACAGCAAATGTGCAGTAATTGTTCTGGGTTTGCTCTGCCTCTCTTCCTTGGCTGGTCTCATAGTGAGACAACATAATCTAAGAGACCAAAAAGCTGAAACCAACGGGGCTTGTTTTTTATCCTCCCTCTGACAAAGCAAATGGCAGTGAAGTGGTCTTGAACAGCTTGATTCAAGCAAGGAGCCATGCCCATGGTCGCATATAGCAGCTTTTCTAGTTCAGTACCCAGGTGTCCAGCTCACATAAACACCATTCCTACAGGAAACCTCCCTTCCTAGAAGCATGGATGCAGCAGCAACTTTGTGTAGAGACTTTGCTTACAAGAGAAGCCCAACATGAAGATATAACATCACTTCTCCCATTCCCTTTCACTTCCTGGATGTACGGTGAGGTGTTCATAGGAGTTCCATAGAGTAGATGGAAGCTGCTCTGGAAAAGAGAAAACCATCATCCTCCTGCTGAAAAATGTGCCAGGGCAAGTATATGAAACTGGTTTGAGGAAGCTGAAGAAAAAAAGTGGGCAGCAGCCATGGGCAGGGTGATATGCAATAGCTCTGTATTGCAGGGCACAAATTGTTTCCTTAACCCTGCCCTGCTGGAACCTGGACTCATCAAGCCCTTGCTCCTAAGTCTGCACCTTGTCTGGCTCTGCAGACACCCATTTTCCATGAAAAGTGCAGGTGGAGTCCCACCTGCAGATGACTCTCATTCAGCACTGTATACAGATTCAGCTGGGATTTCATAGAATCAGAATCATTAAGGTTGGAAACACCACTAAGATCATGAACCCATCACCTCTGTGCCACTAAGCCAGGTCTCAGTGCTACATCTACCTTTTACTGAACACCTCCAGGACTCTACCACCTCCCTAGGCAGTCTGTTCCAGTGCCCGACCACTCTTTTGGAGAAGAAATTTTTCCTAATATCCAACCTGAATCTCCCCTGACACAACTTAAAGATATTACTGCAACTTAGCCATAACTGAAAGCCATTTAGCACATAGAAGTCTCAAGGGGTTCTTTGTCCCCACCTTTGCCTTAATTCACAGCTACATGCGTTGTGAAGAAGCATCCAAGCCACACCAATTGTAGGAATGTGTTCCTTTACATTACAAACCTCCAAAATGCTGGAAGGTCGATTACAAAAAAACACCCAAACAAAAGCGACAATGACAAAACCCTGCGGCTCCGTTAAAGGAAGAAGCCGTACAGAAAGGTCCGTGTGGGAGAACCAACCAATTCAGCATCAAAGAGAGAAGCAATAACAAGCAAGGCTAGCCCTCCCCTTCCCCGCACGGAGTGTTTTATCTCGTCAGAGTGGTGGTGCTGGCGAGGCGCCAGGGATCTCGTCGATAGATCCAAGCGGCGCTGATGAAGAAACGCAACCAAAGTAATTAATGATGGGGGAGGACCGGCTCCCGGTGCTCGCGGCGGAGCTGGGATCTGACTCATTCTTTGCAACAGTTAACCCCAGAAAGAGTCAATTAGAGCAGGACTTCCCAACCTTTTGCAACAGACGCTCTCACTTTCAATTAAAATGGCTCTCTAGGAACCCTGAGCAGCAAGTTTTAGTCAGCAGGCTGCACGGAGCATCAGGCTTCCTGTGCCTTTGTAGTTTCTGAGTTTCTCTGACATGCCAGTTTTTAATTTGCAAAAATATTGTCTGGATTTCGCCCAGGATTTCAGATGGTTTTCAGCACTCTCTGTGCTCTCTTCAATATTCTGGACAAGGTTCAGATTAGCAATAGTCCAATATTAGTAGCGGCACTTGCTCTGATTTTCTGGGCAGCACTTGATTCTCCCCATATTTGGGTCAATACTGTTCATGTTTGCCAGCTTTGGGTCAGTATTCTGCAGCACTGTATGGCTGTATTTGCTCCGTTTTCTATTCCAATGGGCTACAGGTTTGTCTGGGATCAAATTATAATAGAGGATGGGCTTTCCAGCTATGAAGCTGATGTCAGCCTCCTGTCACCCTGGTTGTTTGATATTCAGTAGTGCTTCTATTTTGGCTCCCTCAATAAAGAGTGAAAGCACAACCTAGTAAATCTAGGTTGAAAAGCAGAGATGATTTAGCTTTGTTCTCTCATACAACCTTTATGATAAAATAATAATATATGAGAAAATTGCAAAGGAACCTGAGTCTCTTTAGTTTTTCAATTTGCTGTTGTTTGTTGGGGAAAGTCTTACTGAACAACTCTGAATCCCCCCCAGCAAGTCCTAAAGACCCACAGTTTTGGCTCTGTTAGTCCTACTGGTTCTGCCAGTGGACAAAAAGGGATTTAAGGATTTTCCATTACCTTCCCCTTGAGCTTCCAGTGTCCACTTCCTCTGCAGGGCTCCTCTTAGGTCAAGGCTCTGCTTTATGGGCAATCCACAGAATTCATCTTGAGATGATACTGAAATCAAGATCAGGTTAAAAGAAAGATTGGTCTACTGCACATTGTGACTTCACTTCTGTTCTCCAAGCTCCTGCTGCCACTCATGACGGCAATACTCCCTTTGCAGTGGAGAGGTAAGATCTTAAGCTTTATCCTAAAAACTCAAATTGCTGAATATGTACCCTGTTGCTGGAGATTGTCACAGATACATTCTCCTTCCCCACAGCCTGTTTTCATCACACAAAACCAAGGTTCATTTCCATGGCATTAATCTACATGATCTGATCTTCATCTCAATTGGAGATGACATTTTCTAGCCCAGGAGGTAGAGGCTTTGCTTTATATTCTTAAAAGTAGCAAGTTCAAACCCTGGAGAGAAGGTCACTTTTTTTTTTTTTTTTTTTTTTTTTTCCAATAAACTCATCATATTCTTTATCTCCTTGCTAAATACCATTATCATCCAATATATTTTGCACGGAATGAAAATATTTCAACAATGCTTTTGCCTGAAGATGTGAAATAATATTCCATTTTGTAAGTAATTTTCATGAAATTTTGCATGCATCCAAATCCTGTGAGGTAGGGAACACACTTTGTTTGAACTTTATAGCCTTCTCATTCAGTTTTCATTAATAATTTTTCCCTTAATTCTCAATAGGTTTATCTTGAATTGAGGGAACAATATCAGAGCCCTCCTGTAGCTTGTTTAATATCTGTGAATTTGCATGGCTGATAAGCGTCAACTGTGCGCATGATAGAGGAGTAAAATTGTGAATGTGGGAGAGAAAAAAAAAAAGCAAATTAAAAGGGAGACTGCAGTGAGGTGATAGTCATAGCAAAAAGTTTGGCTTCATCAGGTAAAGCTATTAGCAGAGGAACAGTGATTGTTTGTCCTCTAAACAAAAAAGTTTTAAACGTGTTTGTCTCAAAAAAATATGTTTTTTGATGGGCAGAAAACACTTATTAGTGGAGTTTTTCTGAGCTGTGCTTATTTGCACCTCCTTCTTGCTAGAGGCACTGGCAAGGGTACTCATGTTTTCTGGCCCAGCAAACGAGTTTCCACCAAACTTTTCACTTTCCTAAACCAGAACTCTGGCCCATATTCAGCCTCTCTTCTCTATACAAGCACCTTCCAAACTAAGATCCAACACCCCTGCCCTTTTCTATTCCTACCACATGGTCCACAACTACTTGCAAAATCCCTGCACTCCCTTTCTGAGCTAAGCATAGTAGAGTCATAGAATCATCGAATCATCAAGGCTGGAAAAGACCACTAACATCACCTAATCCATCCATCTTCCTCATCTCCCTGAGACAGAAATCTAGTCCCTGTTATGCTCCTGCCTCTTTTTTAAGTGCTTAGCTGTGCAACACGACCTGTTCTCATGAGCACTCCCAGTTTGCACCATCCCTTGTTGCAACCATCACATGCAAGAAAAAGCACACAGAGAAAGAAGGCAATACGTTGTGTTTTCATCAAGGCAAAAGTTCCCTGTGGAACATCCATGTAGAATTACAGAATGGCTTGGGGTGGAAGGGACCTCAAAGATCATCCAGTTCCAACCCTGCTGCCATGGGCAGGGTTGCCAACCATTAAAACAAGCACCAGACCAGGCTGCCCAGGCTCCCATCCAACCTGGCCTTGAACACCTCCAGGGATGGGAGACCACAAACCTTGTTGCACTTAAATCATTGTTCCACAGAGGACTGTAGCATTCATAGAGAAATGCAGGCTGATGCTGGCAGATGTAATTCTGATCCTATAAGCCTCCTGTCTAGACTGGACTGAAACTGACATGGAACACCGGAAAGACAGGACCTGAAGGAGGAAATGAATTTCCATGGAGCCATGGGATGAATCATGGTGTCAGCCACGAGGATTTATCAACAAGCAAATTCTTTTCCAATCCTGTAAATACTCAAAGCTCTGGCACCCGCAGACCTCATATCTCTAATTAAAAATAGCCATGAATACTTCAATAAACGACGCAATCCATCATGCTCAGGACACAATAAAGGGACAGAGAGTGGAAAAGAAGCTTTGCCTCTGTCCTGTGTGCCATACTGTATGTGTCTCACCGCAGGGAAGCATGTGCTAATTTCTTACCTCTCTGCTGACTGCACTGTCCTTTTGCATAGTTGCTGCTAAACTGCATGAAAGGTATTTCTAATCTCGTGACGGTGACTGAAAAGGGTTGAAGGACACAAATTAAGTCTCATAGCAATAGAGCAGCCCAAGAATGGAAGGTCAGCCAGTTGACTCTTCCCAGAATCCCCCGAACAATGCAATTATTCATGAAGGAAATTTCAAATTATTTTCATTAGACTTCTGTTTTACCAATCTAACCAAAGTGATTAATTAGGGATTAAAATATTTACTCTGCACATGCTGCCTTGGCACGGCACTAGAATATTTAAGCATTGTGCTAAAAGGGTCAGCTGTCTCCAGTACTGTTTGGAATTCATTCTCTATTTTCTGTGTAAAAGGGCATTGACACTCATGTCTATACTACACTTAGGATCCCATCAGGGACAGAGAGAGAGAAATGTGTCTCCCTTGCTGCCCTTGTAGCTGCCCCAAGCTCCCCAACTTCCTTAGTATGGCTACTTGGGCTGAGAAGCAGACAGCAGCAGCCTCAACAACTGCAGTAATGCCCTGCAGCAGTTTCACAGTTGAACACCTATTCCACAGTGCCAGAAAGGAGGGAGATGCTTGCGAGAACCCAGAGGGACCAGCCAGAAAAGACAGCATTGGACAGGAAGACCAAAGAGTTGCACTCAGATTTTAGACTAGTTATGGATGTCCTGCACAACCCCGGCCATTTTCTTATACTAAGAGATGACTTGATTTATTAGATTTAATTCAGAGCTTTGTAGCTACAGGACAAGTATTGGTTATGTTTGGTAAAGAAGAGTGGTGCTTTGATTGTCGCCTGCCAGGGAGCTTAGTACTCCCCTGATGAGGTTATAGAATCCTTGAACATCCCACGTTGGAAAAGACCCAGAAGGAACATCGAGTCCAACCCCTGGCTCTACACAGGACCACATAAAAATCAGACCAAGTTATCAGAATGCAGCCCAAAGGAAGGTGACACTGCACTACTCTAGTGCAGACATCTACAAAATATTTGTCCTCACCTGGGGTTTGGATTACCATTAGAAACATTTAGCATACAACTAGGAGCTAGTGAATATCAGAGTGGAAGCTCACGATAGATTTAGGAACCCTGGAAACACAGACTTTGCCAAAATAGCAAACGCTTTCACTGGATGTGAAGCTTAGAAATAGGATTACTTTGTCCAAATGGATCCAAAATAATGGAGTATGCAATAAGGAAAGACTCCGGAAAGGATGAACACGAGACACCATGCAGTAACTGGTCCATCAGACCATGTCTGCACAGCGCTGAGCATTGGAGGGGCTTCTCTGGCATGGCCACCCAACACCTCCCCAGCACGTGTCTCTGTAGGATAGTTAAAATGCACGATACCTCAGAGCTGGCGAGTGCTGCCACTGCAACCTCACCAAGATGAAAAAGATGTATAACAGGATTTGCATTCCTTTCCAGACTGACTGCTGCAAGCAAACATTTCAGCACTTATTTGTTACCAATATTATGAGAAGTACCAACCCATTTCCTGGCTGGGGCATGTTTCCTCGAGGGGACTGAAGTCACCTGTCACTTTCTTTCTCATGTTACTTAATCGTTTTAGTCCAAGCAGTAAGCTGCCAATCATATTTAATATTTAGTCACCTTGAATGCATTGCTACTGATTAAATAGACTGCTATTTCAGTAAACAACTGATGAGAGAATACTTACAGCTTCATTATAATTATTCTAGCAGATATTAGAGTATTATTCATATGTAACTCCAAAGAATATTTAGGTCTTCTCCTATTTATTTCACAAACAACATATTAATTGCTACCATATTAGCAGAGCTATCAGTGCTAATTGGATAATACCCCTTCGAAGATTTTTCCTATAGCAACCTCTTTTGCTTGCATGTTTTTAATGCATCTCTGGTATTTAGGATCTTCGTTGATTTCCCACAAAGAAATACATTAATTTATCAGCTCTACACCTCTACACACTTCTTGGTTGGGTTTGTTTGTAATACAGTGAAAACAAGCAGCCCCTACAAGAAGAATCATTGAGTCAGAATCAGAATGGCTTGGGTTGCAAGAGACCTCCAAGATCATTTAGTTCCAACTCCCCTGCCATGAGCAATGTTGCCAACCACTAAATCAGGCACCAGGTCAGGTTGCCCAGGGAAAGAAGAGGATGGTAGAACCATGTCTGTACCACGATTCATGGCAGAGGCTTGAAGAATTCAGGACTGCTGAGATACTCCACGGCCTTATGCATGATACATCCCCTACCCTGAGAAAAACATATTCCCAAGGGCTTGAAGGTTCCTTTTAAAATGACCTTGAAAAGATCATTAAGAAAACCAAACTCGTTCTCAGTAGACTCAAACTTTGGTTTTACTTCTGGAAGCGTTGAGAAACACTGCTGCAGAAGCAGATTGGAGCTGGGCAGCAAGTTTGGGTAAATTACTTGTTTCATAAAGGTCTTTGCACACTACTGGTAAATTTATTCAGTGGGTTTTTTTTCCAGAATAGGAAAGGGGAAGAAGAAATTGCAGAAAAGTAAAGATGTTCTGCGTCACCATCAGCTATGCAGGATCTTCAGGCCTTGCTTCTAGAAGGAAGGTTTTGTTTAGAAACTCAGCAAGGGCCATTTTTTCAAAGGAACAGATAATACATGTGTTTGTTTCGCTTCAGTGAGAGAAAATGAGAAATTGCTGCTTCAGGTTGACCCAAACATTTCTCCTTGTTTCTTCCCACCCACTCACCTCCTCTCCTTCCTCCCTCAGTTTTTCAGTTTGACCACTGAACTGAAAAATTAATTATTCTTACAGCTCTATTAAAGGACGACTTATGCCAGGCTGCTTACAGACAGTCTAGCTGATGTATAATAAGTATCTTTATTTTTTACTTATTTTTCCCTTT